GACGACGGCCTCGAGGTCGGCCATCGCCTGTGCGTCCTCGGCCGGGTTCAGTGTCGACACGAGGAACCGGATTAGGTCGCGCGCGCACACGCGCAAGTCGGCGACCGACCGGCGCGGGCACGCGGCCTGCACCTTGGCCCATTTCCAGACGCCGTAGACCATGAGCCGCCGCTCAAAGTAGAGCTTTTCCGTGGGCGACCACTTGAGCGCGGCCGACGCGTCAGTCGGCTCACCCTCGTCGTCGAGCAGCGACTGCGACCCGCCACGGTCGGAGCGCCGGTTCGCCGAGCCGGAGCTGGATGCGGGCTCTGCCTGCTCACGTAATTGCTCGTAGGCGCGTGCGACAGCACGCCGCTGCCTTGGCTCCTCCATGATCAGCGCCTGCGTGCGGGCGGTTTCCTCGTCCGTGACGGTCAAGCTGCGCGCGCTCGGCAAACTTATCCCAGAAGAGCGGGTCATTCACATCAATATCAGCATGGTCCTGGTCGGTCGCAAAAGAGGCCTTCGAGAAAATCGACCCGGCGTTGGCCGAATTATCGTGCTTGATGACGGTCGCGCGGCGCTCCAAAATCTGGTCAATGTCCTCCGAGCAAAACGCGTTAGCCTCGGTATCATCGAGAAACGCGCCGTAGGCGCCCTTCTTGAGCAGTTCCTCGACCTCCTTTTTCGAGAGCTTGCGCTCGCCCGGGTCGTCGCCGTAGGCCGCCTGCGCGTCCATTTTCTGCAAGACGGCCTTGTCGAGCCCGAGCTTGAACCCGGCGCGGTCAAACATTTCCTTTTCGTACGTGTTGCGCGTGATGAGCCGGTAGATCTGGACGGGTTTCTTTTGGCCGATGCGGTGGCACCGCGCCTGCGCCTGCAAGTCGTTTTGCGGGTTCCAGTCTACACACACACGAGGAAGGACGAGCGTCAGTTTCCGGTCATTCGTGCCGCGCGACCGGGTCATGGCGCGCAAGTTCAACGTACCGCTGTCGAAGATAATCGCCGTGTCGGCGGCCGTCAAGTTGATCCCGACACCCCCCGCGCGCGTGCACAGCAAGAAGACAAACGACTCGGACTCGGGTGCCGAGAACCGGTCGATCGCGGCCTGCCGCTCGGACCCGCGAATATTGCCGTCGATGCGCTCGAACCAGTACGACTGACCGCGCAGGTAATCGGCGAGAATGTCGAGGCACTTGGTCATTTGCGAGAAGATCAGGACCTTGTGCCCGCCGGCCTGCAGCTTGCGCAGCAGCTTATCGAGCAGCACGAGCTTCCCCGACGCCTGGACCATGCACTGGTACTGCTGTTCCGGCGAGTTCGCGCTCGCGTCGGCCAAGATCAAGTCCTCGGCGCCGGCGAGCAGGTACGGGTGAATGCAGCACTTGCGCAGTTCCATGACGACGTTGATGAGCGACGGCAGCGAGTCACGTCCCTTGGCGCCCTTTTTCAGCATCGAGAAGTTGCGCTCGAGAATCGCGCGGTACCACTTTTTCTGAATGTTGGTGAGCTCGACTTCGACCACCGTCTCTTCCTTGATCGGGATCGATTTCTCGACGTCTTCCTTTAGCCGGCGCAGCATGAGCGGCTGCAGCAACTGCTGCAAGCGCTCCACGTCGGACGACGTCTTGAGCGACCCGTACTGCGCCATGAACGACTTCTCCGACGGGAACTTGTCAGGCTCGAGAAAGTGCAGCAGCGCCCACAGCTCGTCGAGCGAGTTTTGCAGCGGTGTGCCCGTCTAGATTCATCCACGGCGTTCGTGTTAGTTTCACGGCACCGATACTCAAACCACACGGAAAGGAGGCAAAACGTAGGTACCAAGAGCACGCGGTGGTCCATCGAAAAGCCCTTGAGCAGCTCCGAAATCTTGGACGACTTGTTCTTGAGCTTGTGCGCCTCGTCGAGCACGCACGCGCGCCAATGAATCGGCCTTAGCTGCGCGACGCCCGCCATGGCCATTTCGTAGGTCGTGATGAGCACATCAAACTTGAACACGTTGGGCACGAGTGCGCCGCGCGCGTCCTTCCAATAGTACTCAGTGTCGACAATCAAGTTGCGCGACGCGGCGTTGCCATGGTAGACGATCACATTCATGTCGGTCCAGTGCTTGAACTCGCGCTCCCAGTGCGGGACCGTCGAGAGCGGCGCGACGACGAGGAACGGGCCGCGCACGCCGAATTCGCGCCACAGTTGGTAGAGGAACGAGACCGACTGCACAGTCTTGCCGAGGCCCATTTCGTCGGCCATGATGCTCGACTGGTTGCGCAGCCAGCAGTGCAGCAGCCAGTTGACGCCTTCGAGCTGGTAGGCGCGCAGCTGATTGCCGTTCTTGAACGCGGGCGACGCCGGGTACTTGGTCCACTGGTCGACCGACGGCTTCGGCGGCGTCGGCGCGTGCTTATACGCCGGCACGTCGCGGAGCGCGTGGAACTCGGCGACTGCGTCCGGATTCAGCTCGTCGCACAGATCCTTGGTCTCCCAGGTGGCCTGGTCATAGCTCAGGTTCTCCCACTTGACGAGGTAGTAGACGTCGTCGGTGCCGCGCGCGTCGCGCACTTCGCCCTCGTCTAGGATCCGGTCAATGCGTAGATAGGCCGGGTTGAACCCGTCGTCGCCCCAGGCCGCATGGTCGACGGCGTTCTGCTTGTCGAGGAACCGCTTGATGCGCTGCCCGCCGTTCACTTGCGCCTCGATCGTCGCCTGCGGCACCCACTCGCGGTGCAAGTACGACCAGTGTTTCCACTTGACGAGAAACTCGCGCGTGCCCGGGACGCTCGGGTCAGGCCGGTGGGCAAGCAGTTTTTCCACGACTTTCGGCTCAAAGTGCGCAAACGGGATCACGACGCTGTCATACGGCACGCGCCACGAGGTGCCCGACGCGCCCGACGAGCTGCCGGTCGGCGTGCCCGCGGCGCGACGAGCCCCGCACGTCGCCCGTGTTGGGGGCCACGACGTTCCACTGGGTTGTGATTTTTAAATGTCGCTCCCAGCACCTCATGTTCGACAGCTTTGTCTCTACCTCCTCAGAATCTCCGTACAAGTCTTATAATAGGGTATTTATCTATTTTAGCGAGGCTGCAATCAGGGTGCTTAGTTAGGCGTGTTGGATCGTTGGCCTTCTTCGTTGTTCTTTTTTTTTTTTTGTGCTTC